AACCAACTATTTACAATACAAAAAAAATTTTGTTACCAAATATCAAATTTCTTATTAGAACTCCAAAAAATCCATACTGGTCATTCTCCCAAATGGGCTTTTAATTTAATTATTGTTATTCTTGTTGGAATCGTGCTTTCTCCTCCGCCTTCCTCGTAGATATTAGAAAACTAAATTATTAAAATTTAAAAATTTATATTTGATATATTATTAATATATATATCATATATTATCAATAAATCATATAATAATATTATCTCATAAAAATTAATTTTAAAATCTTAAAATATAAATATATTTAATTTTAAAAATATATTCTAAAATAAATTTTTCTCGTGTTGGTCAAGGAACATGAATAAAATCGAAGTTCTTTTTCCTTTGAAAAGTTGTATCAATTGTACGTACGCCGCTGAATTTGACTTTGATTGGGCAACAAGAGCTCCCCACTTCTATTTCCTTTATTATTATAATTTTCCTCTGTCACAGTGAAAAAAATTGTTCAAAATAAATTCACATGTTTTTGCTTTACGAAGAAAGAAGAATTTTAGTACATTTTTTTTTTTTTTTGCCTTCCGCTCGTCTATATATATATATATATATATATATATATATGTTTCTAAGGGGAAAGTTATAAATTAATATATATCATGTAGAAAGTATAAATTCAATAATTATTGCAATAATAGTTTTTAGTTTTGTAGAAAGGGTCCCATAAATCTAATTGGATCCTTGTCAATTGCTTGGTAGTGTATCTACATTATTTTGTTAGCATTCTAGTCTCTATATTCTATTTTATAGTTTAAAAAGACATGGAAAAATCGTAGCGAGAAAAACGAATATAATCACTTGAGCCAATCATGTTTGAGTTTTGTTGGTAATTTCTTATTGGTGCTAATTTCGAATGAAGCGAACAAAATTTTATGAGATATATATCTTGTCCCTTCTCCTGAGGTTGAAATAATTTATCTGATCTCGATTTAAAAAAAAAAAAAAAAAGAAAGAAAGATATGGGAAAATGGAATGTACAATAGGAAATGAATTAATTAGGGGCATAGCTCTAATCTTATCAGTGTTGTTGTTTTACCTTAAAGCTTGGCTATGTAGTAAAAGAACTGACAAAATTTTAACAGGAATCCAATGCACTCAAACTCAATTGATATATAGAACATGATAACTCCCTTTTAGTTCTATATATCTGACTTTCATATCATGCATTCTTAATAATTTTCGTAATTTTGTCTTCAATCTTTTGATTTCGACACTTTTACATGTTGGTAATGCAGGCACCATTTGAAGTGCTTATTGGTCCAATCCTAACTTATTTTAGGTGGACACGCATGCTTGATTTCACTAATATCAGGGTAATGATTTCACATATGAACCGAGTAACAGATTTAGTCGTTGATAGAAATTACCATGAATCTATTTCTGGTCATTCTAAAAGGATTCTTGAAGCTGCCATCTTCAGTTCTTCAAAATTGCAACTGAAGCTAGGTCTACTGCATCAATAAGTTACGTGAAAAAAATTGAAAAAAATTAAAAGTTGGTTCAAAATTGTAGTATTTGATTTTATTTAAATTATTTTTTTTAATTTGAATTAAATTTAGATATCAAATATATATATTAAATTTAGAACGAATTTTGAATTGAAAAACAAAAAAAAAAATGAAACAAATAGAATCAAACCAAATTATATATTTTTATTAGTTTTTATATATTTTTAAATTTTTTATAAAATAAAATAATTATTTTATATGTAAATCTATTTAAATATATTAAAATTATATTAAAATAATATATAAAAAATAAAATTTAAAAATTAATGAATTGAATCGAAAAAATTCGCATTGAATTATATAAAATTTTGATCCGAATCAAATTTTAAAATTTTATAATTCTTCACATAATCTAAAAATCTGAATCAAATATGATTCCATCTGTTATTACCTTTAATTATTGCTATAACAGCTGACTTTTCCAAAAATGTACTGGCAAAGATATGAAGAAGGTTAGGCCGAGTTGCTAGCAAAAAAAGAGGCGTTCATTTTGTTTGTGACCTTCTTGTGGGTTGGTACTCATACTTTGGTTATTGAAAATGATTTTCTAAACGCAACGGATTGAGTCAAATTACCTCAAAATACTCATTGCAGATTAAAAAAGCACATACTGTATATGAAACTCTTGAAACAGCAATTAGGAACTCGGCAAATTTTTTATATACCATAAAAGACTAATGAGTTCGCTAACAATCTTGCCTAATTAAGTGCGAATAGAATTCAAAATCATGTGGAGTGATTTTCATAACTAAGTGTTGCTGGCTTGTGTTTTATTTTTGTATGATCTGGCAGCTTTTTTTTTATGATTGTTGTAGTATCGATTCTACTATTAATTTAAGACCTTGATTTAAAAAAAAGAAATATCCATCTTATCTTTATTATATTGAAAGCGGAGAGCAACAAGACCTATCCTTTCTGAACCTCCAACAATGTGCTCAATGAGCTATAGAGGAGATGAAAAGAAGTATATGGTCTGAACTCAAACATATAATATATTATTTCCAGAATGCAAGCCTCTCCAAGTGAAGGATCAAGGTGAAGGGTAAAATATCATGGAGTTGTTCTATTTCTAAAATGCGCCCCAACAAGATTGTGAAAAAGATTATAACAATTTATCCTTGGAGCTAAATATGGTCATGGAAATTGAATATCTTTTTTGTTCACTCTTTTTGTCACTACACATCGTACCCTTGCCAACATCTAGCTCAAGGAGAGATATAACTAGTTTTTTACATTTCAAGTAAAGTATCCATTGCACACTTGGACATCTACATATGGAGAAATACCAACATGCCAAAATAAATTAATTACATGAATACTTTAGATTTTTTTTAAAGATGTACGTTGGTATCTTGAACAGTGAAAACCATCAGGTTAATATTCAATATAGAGATGGCAGCATTACAATACGAAAATGGAAACCGGAAAACCATATTATATATACATATTATAGAACCCATATATATTATATTGTATGATCAGAGCTGTTGAGGGAGAAATTCCCTAAATGCCTTTCTGGATTTCCTGAATATCCCGACTATGCGTGGAACGTGAGAAGCAAATGAGTAATCATCTGCTTCCTTAGAGATAATTAACTAAAAAATAATAATTCTTGCTAATAATGAAATGGAGCTTAATCCACTTCAACTGACACGAAAACTTTTAGCTAGATCTTAGAAATGGTCATTAAACAAATTTCACCCAGTGATTCCACTAGTGCAAATGGTCAGAAAAATAAAACCTATATTACAAAATTTGAATGCAATTGCAAAGTATGGAGTAGAACTTGATAGACAATATGCATAATTTGGTTGAAACAATGTTGAATTGATCAGAATAGCAAGTAGATATTATTCCATATGTTTATAATTTTCATAAATGTGCTAACAAACTATTCAGCCAAGTTCTTGTTCCACAAAGAAACTAAGAGGACCGGTCCAAAAGTTAAAAAAAAAAAAAAAACCATCAAGCATCCACCTGACCAATTGAAAATCGAAATTGATCTCGATTGCTTATAATGAGCAAGTAATGTGAAGGAAAACAAAAAAAAAAAAAAAAAAAAAAAGAGAGAGGTACTTAACCGTGCCTGACTCATCAATCTTAGGCATTTCGTATACAATCTTAAATTTGTATATGTATATGTATGTATATATATGAAGTTGATTATGATATTAGAAAGGTAATGCTTAATCTGTATATCTGTTTAGGGTCCCTATTTGTATAGTTTAAAACATATATAGTTAATCTAAAAACGATTAATAACATCCATATATGGATCACTCGACTCTGGCTAAAAGGGAAAAGAAGGTTCTCTAGCATCTATCCTACATTCCAAATATATATTAGTAGAATTAATTCTACCTTTATTACCTTTATTGGCTAAAACGCTCTTTAGGTGCACCTTTTTCACTTAAAACTTAGAAGGGAATTTCTCAGTTATCCTTTAAACGCAAAAGTTAATCACAAAATCCAAAAGGGATGACCCAACCCTTTGGCAATCATAAATATGTCCTTTCGGCCAGATTGATTAAGAAAATTCCCTCTTCAATATCTTTATACATATTGGTTTCCTTGATATATCTCCCCATCTCATCATTATATGTTGGGGGTGTTTTATATATTTACCTTTGAATTAAGTACATATAAAAGTGTTCCTAATTGAGACAATAATGTTTGGAAGAATTAAGAACACTAACTATTCTACTCATCTAGGTATCTGAAATTACATTTCACTGCTGAAATTAAAGGCTCATCATGTGAGTGTAATTTAATTTTACTGACTGAATACTTATTTCTCTCCTCTGTCTGGAATAGTTGACTGTTCACAAACAAGCCTGAAAAATAATTAAGGGAAGTAGAAGATGGAACTCCACAGCTATAAGGTTCCATATATACTTATATTAAAGTATGAGTTCATGCATGCAACGAAAATCTAGTAAATTAATTAAAAGTGTTATATAGAAGCTATATATGAATATTATCTGTCATATTTTCTACATTGAAATTACAGCACCAATCACTAGCTCTGGCAAATCAGCACATATATAATCGACCATTTTCTGGCCACTAACGAGCTTTTACATTCAAAATTAACCACAGAATAAATAGAGAAGATAACAATGCTAAGGATTAATTAATTAAGATCAATCTTTAAAAGGTTAATTTGCCGTTGTAATCTTATATTAATTAATTCCAGACAGTAGAGCAGTAGAATTAAAGTGCCACAATAAAAGAGAGAAAAGGGAAGTCATCAGAAAGAAAAAATGACTAGCAGAGACTGAGTACGATCTGCAACAAAGCCATTAAACAACTATAGTGCTGGACAAATCTGACACATGATCCTCATGTAAAGTCCTTTCGAGCCTTTAACTGCAATGAAGGGAATTGCCAACACCCCCATCAAAAGAATTAGAAAGAAAATGGGCTTAAAGGGAAGAGAGATACAGAGAGAAGAAGACAGATGAACTGCAAATATATATGGTTTGGCATACATATGAATACTAAAAGTACATAAAAACCATGAGCAATTAGATGCTCTCAGTTCCACTTAGGCAACAACTGCTAGCACAATCACTCCTAGAATGACTTTTTTTAGTACTACTACAACAACTACTAGTCCATTACTGAGGACACTAAGACTGTTTGCATCAAAAGTAGATTCAATGAATCCCCAAAAATCTCTAAAGCATTACCAGATTTTACCACTCTAACAGCAAACAGAAAGCATAGAAAAGTAAAACTACGTACGTACGTACGTACCCTAAAAATATACTGATGTCTGAAAATAATACCATAATATAACTGAAGGCAAAAGTAAAGAAGACTACCCAACATAGATCAAGCAAGTAGCAACCAGGGAGAAACATTTACTCATACACAGAGTAAACTGCTTGCATAAGGGGCTTTGCTGATGTATATTTTAACTTGCACCTGGTGGTGGTGGCAGTGGCAGAGTTAGGATTTGTTGAGCTGGTGGTCGCTTACGCTTCTTCTTCTCGTAGCTAATCCCTCTTGCTTTTGACTGCAAATCACGAACCTCACGAAGATAAAGCCTCACAGCTCGCGCCCCAAAGGGGTTTGCCTCAGGTTTTCCTCCATTTTCTTCGAAGGCAGCTCGGAGGCGGCCGATGAGAGCATCGAGGCTACCCCAGGCTTGACGGAGTGGGCATGGGCAAGGAGCTGGTGGGTTTGGGTGGCCATAGAAGGGGCAGATTGGAGTGTGGACTTTGGTTTTGCCAAATTGGTCGAGGTAGCGAAGGAATTCGAGGACGTGAGCTCCACTGCACCTGGAGAGGGAAAGTGGGGGCCTATGATTCTTCAGGTACTGCCCAAAGGTGTTCCAGTCACGGCGCTTTTGGTTCTCGTAGCGGCTTGAGGTTGAAGAAGACGAGGATGCAAGCGAAGTTGCATCGTTATTGCTAACGTTGAGGCTGGCGTTTTCGGTGTTGGAGCTATCCATTTCTCGAATTGAATCCATGGATCGAGCACAGTCTTTAATAGGTTCAGGTAGTCTACAACAATAACTCTTTTTGAATTTTGTCAATTAAATTGAGATATAAAAAAGATGCGTTGGTCTTTTCCGTGATGGTGTGGTGCTGATGGGATGTTTCTCTTCTTTCAACTACTTTCAATCTTAACTAGGGTTTAGGTGATGATAAAAGAACTTTCTGAGTGACCATAAGACAGTCTAAGATAGACCTAACAAAGAAAAAAGAAAGAAAAGAGAGATCAAATCAAAGCAAAGCTAATCAAAGTCGAAACTGTTGAAGACAAGTGAAGGAACTGAAATCTTTGGGTTGTTATGAGATAAGTCTACTTTTCTGGCAGATGTCACTGTTATACAAAAAAAAAACAGTCAAGATGAGAGAAAAAGAAAAAATACCAGTGCTTAATAAAGACAGGGACGACCCTGCTGATTATTTATTGATATTAGACACAATTTCCATTTGAGGAGCTAAAATGGAACTGGAAAGGGCAGCCAAAAGAAGATTTTCTTTGCTTGGAACAATATTAGAAAACTTCGGGGTGTTTATTTGCAGCAGCTTTGAGGTTTTTGTATTAAGTGATGGGAATTTTGTTTTTCGGAAATATAATACTAAGTTATTTGGATATTTTTGCTGAAAAGAGGTTGAACAAAGATGGCTATTTATTTGTTAATGGGTTTTTATGATTATTGATGAAATTCTTAAGAGAGAGAATTCTGGCTAGAGGCTGGGGGGGGTGGGGGGGGGGAAAAAAGAAGGTCACGGCAGTAGGTTCCAGATGGAGACAGGAAAATATTTTGAAAGGGTAAGTAAAATTTAAGGGAATGACATGATTTTGTTTCTTGAACCCTGTAGCTTGGAATGACACTTCCTTATTCATTGACCACAATACCCTTTGCCTAAATTTCCTTTTTTTTTTTTTTCTAAAACAAAACATTTATTTTCTATCACCTGCATTGGGCCCGATTTCTCCTAAAAGTACTCAGAAAATAAGTTTTCCAAGTCACAAAGCTATTCTTTTTTTTGTCATTGTTTTACTCAATTTATTTCAGAAAAGGCTGAGGCCTGTGTATTTTGTTTTTTGTCCTCTTTTTGCAAATGTCTTAACATTTTAACTGTGTGAGGTATTAGTTATTTATTTATTTATTTATTTAACGTAAAATTCTTCATTAAGTATATGCAAAAATCTCATTAAGAGTGGTTTCCTTATGATTATTTTCTCACCCCACTTTTTGGACTTTGAATTTTGAACAAATGATGCAGCACTACCCTTGCCCCCTTGCTGCTTACAAGGACTGAACTTCTTATGTACTTATCTGGAATATATTATGATTAGTATTCTCCTTTAACTTTTTTTTTGTATGAACTTATTTGGTAGTGTACAAGAAAAAATTTTAGAGCAAAATATTGAAATTATGAAAAAAAAAACAATATTCTAGAAAAAAATGTAAAGTGCAAACCCATGATTATAAGTTCTTATGATTGTTCTTCCAATATTTTCTACTTCTTTGACATTTCAATTTTATATTGGAATGATATGAAGATTTATTATGATATATAAATCAAAATTTAAATTTATACTTATGAAATATTTTTTATGAATAAAATTATGAGATATTTAAATTAAAGCAAATAATATTTCACAAGTTAATTACAAATTTTTACAAATAGTATTAGAGTAATTATCAGTTGAAAGAAAATTAAATGTTTCACCATAAATCCATTTCTAGAATCCTGAAAAAATTAAATATTACACTGTAAGAGTTATTTTTAAAATCCTAACGTTTAATATGATTTTGATTTTATGGTTCTGTGTATATTTTGGATTAGGATTAATGGGGATGTCAAATTTTAACAAAAGAAGTTTATGACATTTCAATCTCACATTGAAATATTTTGAGAATATATTATAATATATAAGTTAAAATTTAAACCTATATTTATGAGATATTTTTTGTGAAATAAAATCGTAAATTTTTTTTATTAAAACGGATAATATTTTATAAATTGAGTGGGAACCTTCACACAACAAAAGTCATGATCTGGTTACCATTCTTTAGTAGTAAGTAGTATCTTTTCTACTATATTTTCTTTTTTGGTATAAAAAAAAACTAAAAGTCTAAAGAAAATTAAGGAAAGAGATATTCGACATGGGTACGAAATCGAATCTAATTATCATTATAAACACTTATTTTTCGAACTTTGGTTTTTTAATTTGATATGTTTCAAATAAGGATAATAAAAATAAAAACAAAGTTTTAGTCCTAATAAAACTCTAGGATAAGGAGGTTTATATTTTGAAATTAAGCTAATAAGAAGATTTTTTAGGAATCAAAATAAAAGGGATGAACGATATGATTTTTTTGGAAAAAAGGATTTTTAGTTTTTTTTTTTAATTTTTGGCTGATTTGGGGCTTAGTCTTTATGATTTGATCCCTATATAAACCATTAATCACACACACATAAATGGGTAGAGAAATAAAAAAGTCAGAAAGTATCAAAAAAATTTTTAAAGAAATTATTGTTTTCTAAAAGAGGTTTTTTTGAAAATTTTCTAGTTGGAGGTTGGATTAGAGCCCAGGTGATGCTTTGGAGGATCTCAAGAAGTAGAAAAGCGATTAGGTTTTTTTTTTTGTAGGGATTTTTTTGTATTTTTATTTTTTTGAGAATTTTTTAAAATTTTCAGAATTTGGTTGAATTTTTCAACAAAAATTCAAACTTTCCGACGATAAACCTGGTTTCAAGCTTTGAAATCTCATAAATCGGTGAAAGCTCAACCTGTGTTCTTTCTTTTTAGAAAAAAAAATAAAGGAAATAAGAATATGAGAAAAATAGAACAGGGAAAATCTAAAGAGAAAAAGAAATTTTGATCTTTTATACAAGTGGCAAACGACACCAATTTTAGCATTAACCACTTTAGGATCTGTGTGTTTCCTTTTAGTCTGACCCAATCTAGTTCGTTGACCCGACGACCTATACCAATGTTGAATTAATTGAGCCGCTAAGTCGAATTCAAGCCATATCCCTCCAACCAAAGGTTTGAGTCTACAACTAAGCCGAGCCAAGGTAAGTTAAGGTTTTTTTTTGTTTTTCTTATACCTGTTTATCTGTTTATTTTTATTTTTTCACAAATTAATAACATTTATTCAATTTTGTATAAGTTTTTTTTTCTTTTCTAAGATTTTTTAAGAGAATTAAAATGTTTTAAATAAAAATTAAAAATGTGAGGAAAATGAAAGTATTTTTTAAATAAAAAATAATCAAAACATTTCATAAAAATACTTTTTGAAGAAAATAAAAATTCAAAAAAATGTTTTTAGGGAAATTAAAGTATTCATTTTTCTAAAAAGTAAAATTTTAAAAAATATATTTTTAAGAAAAAGTTGAAAGTATCAATTAAAGTATCAATTTTCTTTAAAAATAAAAAATTTTAAAATAATATATTTTAAAGAAAAGTTGAAAGTATCAATTTTTCTTGAAGATAAATGTTTCCAAAATATTTTTTTTGAGAAAAAAATTAAAAGTATCAATTTTTCTTAAAAATAAAATTTTTATTTTTTTGGAAAAAGTTAAAAGTTTTAATTTTTTTTGAAAATAAAAATTTTCAAAAAATATTTTTTTGAGAAAGGTTGAAAGTATTAATTTTCTTTGGAATTGAATATTTCAAAAGATGGATTTAAGAAAAAGTTGAAGTATCAATTTTTCTTAAAATAAAATTTTCAAAAAATATTTTTTGAGAAAAAGTTGAAAGTATCAATTTTTTTAAAAAAAAATAATTTTTTTTTCAAAAAAATGTACTTCAAAATAAACATTTTTAAGGAAAATTTGAAAGTACTAATTTTCCTTAAATAAAAAAAATTTAAAGAAAAGTTGAAAGTATCAAATTTCCTTAAAAAATAAAAAATTTTAAAAAAAAATATTTAAAAAACGTTTAAGGAAAAGTTAAAAGTATCAATTTTTCTTAAATAAAAAAGTGATTTTAAGAAAAAGTTGAAAGTATAAATTCTCATTAGAAAATAAAATTTTTCAAAAATATATTTCAAAAGAAACATTTTTAAGGAAAAGTTGAAAGTATCAAATTTCTTTAAATAAAAATCTTCCCAATATCAAAAAATGCAATTAGGAAAAAAGTTAAAAGTATCCATTTTTTAAAAAAAATAAAAGCATTAATTTTTTTAAATAAAATAATAAAAAATCTTATAAAAAAGTCAAAGTATTAATTTTTTTTGAAATTTTTTAATGTTAAATAATCTGACATCAAAGTCCCTGCAAGAGAAATAATAGTTTTCTTGTATACTTTTGAGGTGAAAGAATTTTTTTAATTTTTTACTAAAAGTATTGGAATCAATTAAGAATAATTTTTAATAATTAATTATCTATTAAGTTTTTTTAAGACTTAATAGATAACACTAAATCAAACTAATATAATCTTTTAATAGGCTTTGTGAGGGTGTTATAATTTTATTTACATGTAACCGTACTTTCAGACCTAAATTTGATTTTGTAAAAATTGAATCTACTTTTTAAAAAATATTTGAGTCAAATTTAAGATTTTTTTTTAAAATGGGATAGATTCAGTTAAGTAACCAATTATACTTAAATAAAAAAAATTAGTGACAACTCTTTAAATTAATGTCTAATGATAAATTTATAGATCTAAATATTATAATAATCATATGAGAATTCACCTCAATATAATAATAATACCATTTCTAGTATTCTTTAGTAATAAAATGGTATCATCGTAATCACAGGTAGGATGGATCAGGGAATGAAGTAAATTGGTCCAAAAACAAAATCAACCAGAGATAGCACCATAACTGAGAATGGAGCGACTGAATTTACAATTTAGGAGGTCAGTCAGGCCATGAATATTAATAAATTCAAAGCCTTTTAATTTTGAAAAATAGTCAATGCAAGAAGCTAATCAGCTGTCCCTTAAAAGTTATTATTATCAGATTCAAAAGATGAGCAGTGAAATTTTAAAAAGTCTAACCTATGGTCTGTGGCCTCCAAAAAAAAAAGTCGAAGGTTTTTGGAGCCAATGTTCTATATTTGATATATGCAGCAGCTGCCTCTATCTTATTCTGATATGCTTCTAAAATCATAAAGATTACCATAACATGAATTTTTTTTAGAGTTCAAAGTTAAACATTAATGGAAATGTGTGACTAAATAAATGGATATATTAACTTCATGCACGTACGGTTTCTGCTTATTCTATTCATTGTCTTCTGTTAGGTAAAAACGCAAATGCTTGTCCCAATATATAATTAATCTTTGCCCCCCACCAAAATAAGATATTTTATTTGCCTGCAGCATTTTTTTACGAGAATTATAGCTGACTCTATTATTTTTTTATGACAACAAAATATTATTATTTTTAAATCAAATGTGAACGCTTAAATGTACAAATTTTATATTTAAGTTCGTATATATTTTATTATTAAGTTTGTAAGTGTTTAAGCTTGAAAGGAATTCAGAAATAACTAATCTAGTAAAGAATAGGTGATCAACTGAAATTTGTTTCGAAATCTTTAGTAAGGATTTTCAAGACAGTTGATGTTAATAGAAGAGGATCGAACCATTTTATATATAAATATATATATATATATATCATAATGCATTTTTTAATTTTTTTCAATATCTCTTACTTGGTGATTTAATTTCTTTCTTTGTTCAAATTTCTTAATCTTTCAAGTTAA